ATATCATCATTGAAAGCAGAAACCAAATTAGCCTGTTGTGCAGGAATTTGGGAATTTTAGGAGGGTCAGGTGGCATTGCATCTGGTCCCCAAGAAGGAAGAGCTATGGGTCATACAAGCTACACATCAGTTCTTGAGGATTCGGCTGAAAACTCAAAAAGAGAGGCAGGAGAGAACCAAGGCTCTTCAAAAGCCCCCCAAATCCTCTTCAGCTGTAGAACACCACACCTTTGGAGAGCCCTGCTCTCCCCAAATGGCCCCAGATACTCACTGCTGTGCTTTGTACAATGAGTGATAAAATTCAGAAATTCCCAGGGACAAAGAGAAAGCTCTTTAAATTCAAAAAATATCTGCCAACTGTCAGTTGGCTGGACTAGTCATGCCAGATACCAAGAGCTGACCCTAAAACCACTTCCTCCCCAGGCCTCTCCTTCCCACTGGAGCAGATGCCAATCATGGTTGTTGTTTCTCCCCACCATCTCTCAGGGCAGCCAGATTCCAAGCCACCGGGCAAAGGCTGAACCCAGACAGGCGTCGAACAGAGAGGGGCGTCAGGCCCCTTGAGCCAGGCATGATCTACCCCTTGTATAATATTCACCAGCTCGCCTGCACCTACAGGACACATAAAAGTGGGCATCGGCCCATTTCCCATCAGAAAATGGAAGTTCACAAATAATTTTCCCTGGCCACTTAGCAGTGGGGTCTAAAGGGTCTCCTGCCCTGTTCAGCCCAAGAGGCACAGAGATTCCTGCATGTGGAGTTCAGGTTGCAAACTATGAGAGAATCCCCCATCTAAGAGGATGCGTGACCCCACCCTGCCTGTGGGGCTTGCACACCTGGGAGCGGATGACAGGCTGGACACTCCCATACAGACACGGCCACTCCTACCTGTGCTCCTGCAACCTCCGGAGCTCAAAATGCCTGATGACATTCATGGTTGGAGTGGTGGTGACAGTGGTGAGTGTCCCCCACCCCCGGCAGAGCTGGGCTACTTCTGCAGTAGCCTAGTTAACTGTCATTCTCCTAATGAACAAAAGCCCTTTTAAAATTCACACCCGATGAGCAGCATCGGCTCCCCCTTGGCAGGTGGCAGGTCAGCTCTTGGCCCCTCACTAAAGCCATCCCAGGTCATCTCTTGTCATGCTCCTCAAGTCACTAGACACTGGGGACAGCCTGGCTCTGAAAAAAAGACTAGCAAGGCCCAAGAAAGTGTCCTCTGTCTCTCCTCCCCTGTTCTCCCCCAGCCAACCTCTCCATTCTACAAACACCCTGAAAAGGGAGAGGAAGAGCAGGAACTGTGTCTGGACCCAGCCTGGAGCTGGTTACCCCGTGTGACTTCCTTGGCACTTACTCTTGCTGAAAAGGCAACAATGGGTCCTGCCTGGCTCTCACCTCCCCTTTCAGCTCCTTCTCTGTAGGGCCTCTCCTGCATGCTGACACAGCCTCCTGGGTCCGTCCCCTAGCTGCACAGCCATCTGCCCAGGATTGGGGTTTGTTTTCTTAATTATCTCAAAATGCTAACATGGGAGCCCAGGAGCTGGCAGGGGCCTGGCCTTCAGTGGCTGCTAGGAAAAACAAAAAAAATCCTTCTTTGAAACCCAGATCTCTCATGCCTCACGCAGGACGTCAAAATAAACAGGGACCCTTGGTCATGGGGCACAGGGTCTGGGAAGGCTCAGGACTCAAGGCCAGTGGTGGATTTAGCTACTTCTAGTGTCTAATAGGTGATGCGATCCTGATTTCCTAAAATGGCACACTGAACCCCAAATATCCCTTGCTGCAGACTCCAGAAGGAAAAGAGAGAGGTCAGCAGGATTTCTGCTCACAATAGTTCCTGACAGGCACGGAGCTGGAGGTGGGGGAGGCAGCAGACAGACAAGCCCTGTTGTCCTTCCGGCCCTTAAGGAGATAAAGTTGGCAACAAATTGCTGAAGCATAGCGTAAAATGGTCACTAGTGAGACAGGTGCCAAGCAATGGGGTCAGAGAGAAGAGAAGGAAGTCCTCTTGGTGAGGGTTAAGATGTGGGACGTCAGGGCAGGACACAAAAAGGGATCATCTGACTGGAATACAGAGTCCAACTCTTACAAGCAGAGAGGCTGCGGGAGGCAGTCCGGGTGGAGGACACCATCAAGGCAAAGGCCGGGAGGAAGGGAGAGAAGAGGATGCTCGAGGCAGGTGGCAGCACAGTGGGGCTGCAGGGTGGGGCTGCAGAAGTGGGGGGGGGGGGGGCTGTCCTGCCCAGGAGCAAAGCAGGCCATGCTTTCCATGGGAGGCTGACTCCATCTGGTTAGGGGCTAGCAAACTATGCCCCACAGGCCAAACCTGGCCTCTGCCTATTTTTGGAACTACAGTTTATCTGGAGCCCAGCCATGCCCATTTGTTTAAAGATTGTGGCTGTTTCAATGGCAGAGCCAAGTGGTGAGACAGAGACCTGGTGGCCCCAAGAATAAATAGCTTGCCTTTGGCCAAGACACATTTGGAGATCCAATAATGTAGAACATGAACAAAGAACCCCAGGGTGATTGCCCAGGACCCAGCTGAGGCCCGGGAACAGAGAGAGAGCGAAGGTACGTTGGTCAATCATGCAAAAGTAGGTCTGACCTCCCCCCACCCGCCCCACCAGGCTGCCTCTTGGCAAAACTCAACCCCTCATCAGGAGAAGGAAGAAAAGGAGATGGAGGAGAAAGAGGAGTTGTAAGTGCTGAGTGGCTTCTCTCCAGCCTCCTGCCCTGGTGGAAAATCTGATCCAGGAGGGGTTCTGGTCACCCAGTACCATCTGGGTCAAGGAACTAAGACAACGCAGTGTGTCCTGGGTACGCTTGGGGCGGTGAGGCCTGAGTCACATTCATAGCTCCCTACATCCGGGATCACTCTATGGCCACCTTTGCCTAACAGCTGACCCCACCACAGAGGCCGGAAGTTGTGAATGACCAGAGAACATCACATTTTGGGAGGAACAGTGTTCCTGGGAGGCCTACTCCCACTTCCTAGACTCAGCGTAAGACGTCCCATCGGCCAAGTCCTCCGTGGAGGTCAGACACACTGAATCAGAAGCCAGGAGCTCAGTTCCAAATTTGGGGACCTTCCTCTCTCCTGGATTACTCCTTCCTTTCTGAGTCTCTGCCCTGGGTTCATCCTGAGGCTGAGACCAGGAGACTGGAAGGTTTGGAACCTGCTTTGTCCCCAAGGAGATGGAACATCACACCACATTTTCTTAGGACACCCTTATCACACCCCTTCCTTCCTGCAGTAGAATCAGTGTAGCCTTTCTGAACATTGGGTACTTTGGGCCTTCTGCGCATACAATGCAGAACCCAGCTTAAGCAACAAAGCATTTAAAAGTTAAACACTATCATTTCAGGAAACCACTTGATGCCAACTTGTATGGAAACACCAACTCGGAGGCTAAAATCTCATGCCAACGGAAGGTTATATGGTGGTCGGTTGATTCAGAATTTTTAAGTTATTACTAAAATGAAAACAAAATGTAACATTTCTCAAGGAAAAAAAGAATTCCAAAGCAGAGTTCTCAGACCTTGGAGAAAACACTCACACAGTCCTTCCAAGGGTCTTTGGGCCCCAGTGTGAATGACTCTGTGTGCAAGTGAGGACCCAGGCTATGGAGGTAGGCTGGTTTGGGCTTTTATTGGCCTTTGACCCAGCTCTGTCTCCAGTGACCAACACACAGCTGGTGCACGGTAAGTCATCAGAACAACTTGGTTGAATGAATGAATGAAAGGAGATGCTCAAGTCCTGGCTCTGCAGTCCATCAGCTGTCTCCTCCATCAGATCCTTAACTTCTGAGTCTTAGTTGCTTCATCTGTAAAACTTACAAACTTATTCATGGCTCAAAGAATTCCTGCAAGCATGAAATGAGACAGAGAGCCCTTGGCACAACGATAGGTGCATTCAAGGACCAAATAAATGGTAACTCCCATTGTTACTTTGCAAAGATGGCTTCACTTCCATATGTAAGACCTCTCGCCAGATCTTCACACCCTCTCAATTCCTTCATGGCATGTTCTGTTTTGGTAAATTTCTAGCACAGAGTCTGGCACAAGGAGGAACACAGAAAACATCTGTCGAAGCAGAATTCCGTAGAGAGCTTCTCTGATCCAGAAACCCCAGCCTCGGATAAGCGCCAGGGCTGAGGATGGTATTATGTTCAGCCTCCTCCATGGGAGGCCACCCTTTGGCAAAGAGCCCAGCCTTCCAAACTGGACCTGGGCACTCAAGGCCAAGCAGCTCACCTGTGTCCATAGGAGACGGGGCCAGGGCCCGTGTGCTCTGCAGAGGGTAGGGGTGCTGGCTCAGCCATTCTCCGGCTGTGCAGCCCTCTCCCCCATTCCTCCTCGTGCCAGCTCTGGCTAGCGTGGGCCTCCCCCAGAGGCAGTGTTCCCAGGCTTGAGCAGTAACAGGCTCTCCATTCTTTCCTGCCCTCGGCAGACCTGCCCCCCTCCACTACGACACTGCCTGATGCTCATGGGCAGCTACCCCCAGTCCAAGGGGAAAACACAGGCCTCTTGGGAACCTAGGGAGCAAGCTCAAGGCCTGGTCTGTCCCCTTACCCAGGAGGAAGAGAAATTGGCCTGATTCACTTGCTGAGATAGACTCACAGGGTCACTCACCCTTAGACTGCAAATGTCATTTGGCTTTGGGCATCTTCAACAAACAGTCCTTACTGGCCACACTGTTTTCTCCAAATGAGGGAGAAATCTGACATCTTCCCTTTCCTGATCTTCACTCATTTGGCCAGGTTCCAGCAATGTCCAGATGTCAATCCTCAGCTCCCTGCCTCCAGGGTGACAACCACTGGGTGGAGGGACCGGGGCTATCCCCAAGTTCAAGGCTTGCTGCCCACTGGGGATCCCAGCCCCCACCTCCGTCTCCTTCTCACATTTGCCTGCCGGATCCCACTGGCGAGAATCACCAGCACTCAACCCTACATCTGCCATCTCCAATCCAGGGAGGAAGAAGCAGCATGAGAATCTTTCACTTACCAAGTTCATCGAGCTATTTTCCAACTTTCTTTTTAGGGATCCTGAGCTCAGTCCTCAAGAATGATCCTCTTATGTCCCAGAGCCAGAGCTGGGCAGTAGGAACCCGGGGCCACAGTAGGAGTCCTTTCGTGGACATGGATTTCTGGTAGTGTGCACTTGATTCAAAGCAACCCCCGCCTCCTCCTCTGGAAGCTCCAGCTCTCAAATCAAGCCCAGGAGGGTCCCAGCTGCAGCCCAGGCAGCACCCAGCAGGGGAGGCAGGGCTGGCTGTCAGAGTAGCACAGAATCCAGCTGTCTTTCTTAAAGGGAAAGCCTGCTGGAGAGAGTCTGCAGGGGGGTGGAAACCTAGGAAGGAGGGAGGAAGGAAGAGAGGGAGGGTGAGCCAGCATCCTCCAGGGAAAAGCTCCGAACAAGCTCCAGGACCCTGACTTGGCACGAGCCTGGTCCTGAGGACTCACAAACTTGTCTATCTTCCATACGTGCAGAACAGGGGCAGAGAGCCCCTTCTCCAGGAGTGGGTTTGACCACTGCAGAGCCTAGTCGGAGCTGGACTCACCCAGGCAGTGCATCACTTACCTGGTAACAAATATGAATGACTCACAGTGTCCTAAGGGCTCTGCAGGAAGAAGCAGGAACTTCAGGAGGTAGCTACCACTATTGGTGGTAGTCATTGTTCCCATTTTATAGATGAGGAAGCTGAGGCCTAGTGAATGCCAGTCCCACAGGAAATGAGTGGGCACGTTAGGACTGAATAAGAGCCACTATACTGGGTGTCAGCCACTAAGCTTCTTGGAAGAGCCACACAGTGTGAGAGCCACACTATGTCAATCTGCAACTACAGCTGAAATACCCACCAGGATCAAGTTCAGGCCTTAGGACAGGGGACATTCAGGATAAGGTGTCTGCCCTCAAAATGCTCAGTGGAAGGAAATCCCCTGCCCCCAATGCTGACACCCACTTTGTCTGGAGAGTGGAATTACTTATGCTTTTTATTTTTCATCTTTATAGTTTTCTGCATCTTCCACATTCCCAAATAAGCAGTTATTCTTTAGAAAGAGTAAAAAAAAAAAAAATAATAAAGCTTCCAAATCCTATCTCCCATTCAAATGTTTCAAACAATCCAGACTATATCAAGAAGGGGCAGTATTCTTCAAGGAAGTTCTAAGAGGCAGGAGAGACCAAAATTAACACAACAGGGCAACAGAACTGTAATTAAATCTATTTGAGTACAGGTTTACCTATTATAGACCCAGAGGCAGGCTTTGAAGAAAATATAAAAACAAACAAACACCCCCCCCCAAAAAAAAAAACAGGTTTTTTTTTCTTTCAGTCAAAACTGAAAAAAAAATCAAAACCTAGTAATTAAAAAAAATGCAATGAAGTCCAAATTCCTCCTATGTTATTTAAGACCCTTCATAATTTGATCTTCAAATCCTTCTGCAGCTTCCCTCCCACACTGTCCCACCCACCCCACCCAGCAACCAGGCCAGACTACCAGAGGTTTCCATGAGCCTATCCAGTTTTCTGCCATTTGTTCAACCGGTGCCTTCTGCCAGGGACGCCCTCTCTTTCCTCCTCTAAAGACTTTGATGCCTTTCAAGACCAGGCCCAATTCACTGCTGCTATGGAGCCTTCTAACCCAGCAAGCAGAAATGATTGCTCCCTTCTCTGAGCTCCCCAAAGCTTTGCCCTGGCCCATGGTCTGAATGTTTGTGTCTCCCCAGAATTCACATGTTGAGGCCTATTCCCCCATATGATGGCATTAGGCAGTGGGGCTTTGGGGAGGTGGTCAGGTCATGAGGGTGGGGCCCTACTGAATGGGACTAGTGCCCCTAGGTAGGACACCCCATAGAGCTGCTTCACCCCTTACCCATGTAAGGACATAGTGCAAAGATAGCCATCTAGGAACCAGAAAGCAGACCCTTACCAGATATCAAATCTGCTGCTGCCTTCATCAGGGACCTCCCAGCCTCCAGAACTGTGGGAAACCTGTTCATTGTGTGAGTCTGCCAGTCTCTGGTATTTTGTTGCAGCAGCCCAAACCGACTAAGACACCATCCAGAGCATGATAGTAGAGCTCTCACCACACTATATTCCGATTAGATTAGTGCCTTTGGTCACTTTGCTATCCCCTGCACCTAGCACCCAACATTGGTGAAATAAAACAGCACATGATAATAACAGTTGTTATTGTTTGAGGTCAAGTGTGGATTTGCAGCACTTCATCACACATCTTCTCATTTGAACTTCATGTCACTGGGTGGAAATCAGAAGCATCAATTATGACTATTAGTGTTTGGGAGTTCTTGCAACTCTGACCTTTGAATGTTAGGTTTACCCAAAATGGCACTGAAAGGCTGGCAAGGTCCCCTTTTAGCTCAGCCAGATCATTGCCATCTTGCCCTCCACCTCCTCATGCCTCCCAGTGCTCTGACTCAACATACCCTTGCCCTCAACTCCCTCTCCAGCCAGGCAGAGGCACAGTGGGCACCAGGGTGATCCTTCCTGGCTGGTGCATACCATGTGGTCTCTTGGCTGGGGTGTGCAGCAGGTCAGGGTGCTAATGAGGCCACAGCTTCAAATTAGAACCCAAAGCAATTCTGCCACCTTCATGAAGGAAGACCCTGCTACCAGAATCCTCTCAGCTGGACCAAATCAGGCAGCCAGTGCACAAGCCCTGGCATCGGGGCCACCCGGACAGGGTGTGGACCAAAGGCATACAAAATGCCAGAGCTAGGAGGAAAATTCTAGATCACATTGCTCCAACTCTTCCCTTGTCAGCCAGGAAAACCAGAGTCCAGACTGGGAAGGAACTTGTCAAAAACACAGAATGAGACAGTGGCAGGATGACAGCTGGCTCCTGAGCCCTTTCCGATGAGTCTGATCCAAGCAGGAAAAGTCAAGTTCAAGGGATGGAACCCAAAGTAAACCACAAAGACCAAATTAATTAGCAAAGCATTCTTTAATGACACCAATGATATAAATGATTCTTGGATACAACACCCCACAGAGAGAACTTGGAACGAGATCAGGACAAAACAGAGGAAGATGTTCAGTAATAGTAATCAAATTAGTCACCAGGGAGGCCAAGCCACGTCCTACCCCATCTCCTTCCTTTCCATCTCCTACAAATAAAAGGAGGGCATGTGGGTCTAAGGTGAGGGCTCGTTCTGCATCCACCAAGCAGCAAGCATTTCAAATGGGGATACCACAGAGTGATGCTTTCCTTCATCCTCAGATAAAATTATTTATAGTTGTGCTAGTTATTGATCCTCAACCCTAGCTCCAGGCACGTGTCAGAAAATACTTCCTGGCCAGTCTGTTTTTGAGGGTGGCCACAAGGTTAATTCGGGTCCATGAGCTAAAAGTAGAAATCAAATGTTGTGATGGTTAATTTTATGCGTTAGCTTGGACAGGCCATGGAAACAGATATTTGGTCCAACATGAGTCTAGATGTTTCATGAAGATGATTTTTTTAGATGAGATCTACATTTACATCAGTAGACTTTGCATAAAGTAGATCACCTGCCATAATGTGTCCATCCAAACAGTTGAAAACCTCAAAAGACCGAGGGTCCCCCAAAGAAGAAAGATCTCACCCCCACCTTGCCTTCAGACTTAAGCTGCAACATGAGCTCTTCCCTGCTGGCCTGCAGGTTCTTAGTGGTCTAGAGCTTTTAGTCAGCAGGACCAGGCTCTCTTTTCCTCTAGCCCAGGCAACATTAGCATCTGAGGTGACATCAGTTCTGCCAGCCTGGGTTCCTTGGTGACTAGAATGAGCACAGCAGAGCCCCTCTGCCTCTGCTGACCAATAATAGGTAGCCTGAATAAGAAATAAACTCCTGTTATCCTAAGCTGTCGGAATGTGGAAATTGTATGTTATCAAGCATAATCTAGTTTAGACTGACTGAAGCGCTGGCTGTTCAACTTGGATTTGAGATGCTAGAGTGGAGGAGACACATCCACAGAACTAATAGAACCATAAAAGGATTTGGATACTGGTGTCCCATTGAGAGTCACAGTTATTTATCTTGGGGTCCTGGGAGTCTTTATCCAGAATCCAACCACAGATGTGTAAATGCATTAAAGGTACAATCTCACTAGCGAAACTTCCCTAGAAAATGTTCAGAGTTCTGCTGAGGAATCTGACCTGGACCTGGAATGGGAAGCTCTCCAAAGAACAAAAGTTTCCACTATGGCAACAGGAATGTTAAACATGATTAAGGAAAAAAAAAAAAATCTCAGTACTAGAAATGCAATGTGAGTATTTATAAGCCAAAAAACCAAAGGCCATTCATTCCCTGGTGCCTGTGATGTTTCCTGCTCCATGGGGAGGGTCAAGAGGACTGGAGAGGGTCCAGAGCAAGATGTCCTTTGCTCAGATGCAGACGGGTGACATGTGGAGCCTTTGAGGAAATGCAATTACACAGCGCTGATGGTTCCCCCTGAAAATCCAGGGTGAGCCAGAGACTGCTGGGACTCTGTTATCTCTCTTGTCAATAGATACACCCAGTCTTCTGACCTTAAATACACTGCAGAGATAAACTCTGGGGCAGAATAAGATGTTCTGAGCTTAAACTATTACAGGAAGCATTTAGCTTAGTGGCTGTCAATGGGGTGTATTCCCCACCCCACAACCTACCTCCAGGGGACATTGGGTGATTTGGGGAAATGTCTTGGGTTGTCACAACTGGACAATGCTATTATCATCTACTGGACACAGGACAGGAATGCTACTGAACATTGGACAGTACACAGCATGGTCCCACACCACAAAGAATTATTTGGCCTAATACCAAGGTTAAAAAAAACCCTGGTTAAAACAAATGGCTAGTTATGTGGGTATGGAGGGTTAGAATAAAGGGCAGGAAGAACATTGACAGAGTGATGGAAAAATTACAGATAAACCAAAACTCTACCACCAGAGCACTTTGAGGGTTAGCCCAGTTCGTATCTATAGAGAACTAAATTTCACCGCTGCTCTCTTCTTTCTGTGCAGGAGGAATGCCGCTCAGGAATCAGATGGGGATGGTCCATTATCTGGAAGATGTCTTTAGATTTGCAAAGTGAAGCAAGAAGCGGAGTTGAGGAGTGGGGCTGGGGAATAAAAGAGCCCAACTGCTCAGCATGATCCAGAGAGGGGACTCATTTGTTTGGGGTTTTGTCCAGCACCAAGGGAGAGAGGAAGAAGGCCAGATGACATGACTTTTGGCCAAGCAATCTCTTTTAGAACAAGGATGTCTAGTATTCAGTTTCAAATTGTTTGCCTTATTGTAA